GGCCCTGGAGATGATGCCAGACATCGGGGCCACTGGGAAACCGTCCTATTATCCCCCGCAATGGGTCTCCAATGGACTCCTCTCAACTTTAGGTGCCAACTGTAGCACTGCAGCTCTGTCCTCCCGTTGTTCATTGATTTGCTCGAACGGGCCCAGTAATGTCTCCATTGTGAGACTTGTTGTTACTGTTCTTGGCATATCGAATACGCCACGGGGTAGCTTGCCAGGCTTTGCCATGCGGGCGAGATGCTCTCGGTAGCGTGCCAACTACGAAAGGATTTTCAAGCTTCTTGCTTGGCCCACACCGTGTGCAGTTCCTCAGCAGAATTCTCGTGTGCAGCCGGGTGAGCCGTTTTTCCCCCCCACCAAGAACCCCGACTGCTCGCTGTGGTGAGAGTAGGGTAATGGCGCAGACTTCCTCTTTTTGCCTTGGCTCCCAGGAGGCCACATTTCATGCTTACTCACCCGCCACTCCAGCAGCCTTTGGGCTTCCACACGTGCAGCATCCAGCTTTCTCCCATCCTCAAACGTTTCCTGTGGGCTTAACCTGGACACACACCATCTGGGCTGTAGATTCCCTCAAGGACTAGTTGGAAAGAGGCAGCAGGTAAACAAACAACGCAGGTTCACTCAGGAAGGCGGGAGACCAAGGGTTAAAAAGACTGACTGATGTACTGGGGCTGGGGGAAATCCCCTTTAGCTATTTTCTTAATACCCCCAAATTCCCCAGAGCAGAGACAGGGAGGAACTCGAAATACCTGTCCTCCCTTCTCCCCCACACTTAACCCCAAGCCCTCCCACTCATGCCCCTGGCAGATTCTCAGGTATACACAGAGGAAAGAAACAAGAGTTTGAGGTCCCTTTGGCTTTCCTGTTTTCCTGAAGTGCAGCGGGTGGGGACTTTTAGCTGCTTTCTTAGTGGGGGGGGGGGTGATGTTGGGGATATCACCCTCAAACTCAGAAGCATAGCAACATGCATTTTTCTTATCTACCTCTGCCCACAGAACTCAGAATAACTGAGGTGGAGGGACAACACGAGGCCCTCGTGCTAGGACAGACAGTGAAGAGTGATTAAAGCGGCTGCAAGGCAGGCAGATCTGGGTTTGAATCCCAATTCTGCTGCTGCCTGGTGATCAGACGCTGGCCAAGCACAATATCCGCTGGGTCTCATTTTCCCTTTCTGTGAATTGGGATAATAATGGTCTCCCAACACTGTAGAAAGACCCTGAGCATATCTCTGCAGAGTACACAGCGTGGTGCAGAGCCAGACTTGACAACGCACAGGCTAACATGGGTGTTAGGTGGCTCCTGGAGGGTGAGAGGCCCTGGGGGAAATGCCCCTATTCCTTGGGGAGATTCCAGTCTCCCCTCAAACAACTGACTGCAGAGTAGATCTATTCTCCGAGGGGTAGAACTGTCCCCTGACCCCCCTCCCAATACTCTCAGCTCTCACTGGCACCATCAGCCACGGCCAGACTGTCCTCTTCCCTCTGTTTGCCCCTTTTCCTTCTGAAACCCCAGGAGCAGTGGCAACTGCAGCTCAGGGAGCTGCCAGAAAGAGCATCGCTCCATGGCACAGTTCCTGGGGGTGCCATGGTGTGAAAAATAATGTGTCTCTCCCACCTTGAGAATTTCCATGACACCTCTCCTGCCCTTCCTCTGGGGAAGCTAAAAGCCCTTCAAGTCCAGGTGGGGCACTGCCGGTGATCACCGAGGGCAGTCTGATCACCGAGAAGGCAGTGGGTCCACCTGCACCAATTGTCCTTGCAGCCCTTACAGTGCCCATAGCAGGGGCCACCCAAGGAAGGGCCTGGAAGCCCTTTCCTAGCAAGCTTTCATGCCAGGAGCTCTGCACCACACCAAGCACAACACCCAGCGATTAAACGACTTCGTGTCCAGCGAGGGCTCAGCCTGGAAAACTTGTATGAGAATCCAAAGAGCCCAGACTCCCAGATGTCTGCAGGAGCTTTCCCGGGAGGCCTCACTTTACCCTCGAAGCTAAGGGACCTTCCTCTCCCTGTACCTTAGGGTTTTCACCAGCCAAAGGAGAGTGTCCTGCCCTACCATACTTTGATGTCTACTGTGGCCGGCTCCAGGACTGGGCCTGCAGAACGGGAAAAGGAGAAAGGGAGCTGCTGCAGAGTGGGTCCAGACGCCCCGCACAGCTGTTCAGAGGGCAGACAGATCAGCCTGGGAAGGGAGATGCAAGGAGGGGTGAGGGGAGAGGCAAGGGGGTTGCTCAGGGCACAGTCAATATGCAAGCAGCCACACTGAGGGAGCTGGAGGACAACACTAACATCCAGGACCGGCCAGTCACCCCAGGAACGGTCTGGAGCAGGCTCTGGGGGTAGGAGCGCAAGCCCAGACAGGGGGCTGGAATGTCAGCGCTCCGGCTCAGTGGGCTGGCGCGGGGCCAGGTTCCAGGGTCTGGAGGCAGAGCAGGAAGAAAACAGAAACCCCAAGGGCAGCGGCAACTGCAGCTCAGGAAGCTGCTGGAGAGAGCATCTCTCCGTGGCACAGTTCCTGGGGGCACCATGGTGTGAAAAACAATGTGTCTGCTGCCCTGTAAACTCTGCCACGTGGCAGGTGCTGGGTCCAGGCGCTCTGGATACTGAGCGGCAGTGGCAGTGGCAGAGCCATTCCTGGCTCTGGCCAGCTGGCGCGAGGCCCACGGTAGCAGGAAAGGCTGTTTCTCCACCCCTCCTGGGGGGAAGCGGACAGGAGCACAGCCCGACCTGGCCACAATAGCCAGGGGTGAGGCACAGGGAGCAGCAACAATCTCGGCTGGAACTTTCCTCAGATCTCTGTGGATGTGCTCCCACTCCTAACAGTGCCCTTCAGGGCCAGACCGCCCCCCTCCATGAACTGGGCAGCTCTGCCAACAAGAAGGGGGGCCCAGAGGCGCTTCGGCCTTTCAAAGGGCCATCAGCGTGGCCCAGGAGACCAGCATGGTGTTGCTAGAGAAAGACCTTGACAACTGCCCAGTGAGAAGGGTTGTTGTGGGAGTGGACTTCACGCTCCTGCAACCCCTGCAACTCCCGCCTCGCAACCCTCCACCCCTACTCTCCCCAGGCTATCAGAAGCCTGCGGCCAACTCAGGAAACAGCATCACTCTGCCCTCAAGGAAGCTGGATGTGTAGGCAGTCCTGGGGCTGATGAGAGCTGCACTAGCCCCCTCACCCCAAGTCCCCACCATGCCATGGTAACCTCGTTGTCCAACCTTTAAGGAACATTCCAGATGCAGAGGGGAAGCAAGGCCCGACTGCGATGCTCTATCCACGACCCTCCCAGGCAAAAGGCAGCCAGGGCTCCCTGCATAAGTCACAGCTCCTCACTCCACAAGCTTTCAAAGGCTCTTTATTAAAAATCCCCCCCCCCCTTTTGTAAAAACAAACACTTGCAGTCAGTTATACAGATCAAGAAAAGCGGTGATGATGTATAGGACACTCAATGAATTCCAAAACTTTACAGATCAAATTTAAATTAACTTGGGTTTTCCTCTCCCCCCCGCCCACCCTCATAAACTCAAAAAACAAACAAACAAAAATCTCTGGTCCAGTTCAAGTATAATCTAACAGATTATGGCCTTGGATTTATCCAAGAATGAAACCCCTGAAACTCAGGGCTGCTGTTCAAACATCGAATCTGCTAAAGTTCGGGTCTGCTTCACTTCAGGTGTCGCTGATGAAAAGAAAATGACACAGGCCTCTCGTCACGGGAGGGCAGGCAACGCAGGTCGAGCCCTTGAACCACCTTGTGGGAGAGACTCTGTGAAATGGTTGACCAGCACTGAAGAAAAGTCTTCAAAGATAAACCAGTATTGTCTTGGTTGCCTTGAATCGTGTCTGACACACAGAGGAAAAGTGCAAATTGTCGAGTGGGTGAAGGACCATGCCAAATGGAATTGTATAAAAATAAATAAAATACATAGATATGTACACACACATCTAGGACCTTCGGTGATTTTTAAACGCAAGTTTCTGACCGAATGCAGAGTGAGGTTTCTGCTCTCCTCCTCCTCCCAGGGGCTCTCTCCAGCTTTCCAATACAGAGAAGGTCAGTCTGTCAGCAAGGGAGCCGGCCATTCTCTGACTCCAGCGGGAGGCTGTTTGAACAGCCCTATTTCCATGGAAACGCTGCTGGGTGGAGGGGGTGAGGGGGGGTACGGTTTGCTGCCAAGGTCAGCTTCCTCTTTGCTGGGGGAAGAGGCTGCCTGCCTCTCTGGAAACAGCTCTCTGGGTGAGGTGGGAGGCTCTTCCCAGCAAAGAGCCCAGAAGGCAAGTAGTTGGAGAAAAAACACGGTCAAAGGTTTTCTGAGAAACAGGAAGTTTCCTGAAGAGCAGGTAAAAACCGGTGCTGGCAGCCAGGAGACTAGATCTGAGCTGAGCAGGCCCTCAAGTCACAGGCTCTCTGAAGCCCCCTCCTTTCCCACCAAGGCCTGATGCTGGGTCTGCTACTGCGTCTCCTCACCGCCCCTGCCTAATCTGGCCGTTTGTTTTGGGTACCTGCCTCCGTTTCTCTCCCAGTTCCCAGCCGCAGCCCCGGGGCTCACACAGATTCCTCTACAGTCTCCGGCTCTTTCCTTTCTCTGTCTTGGTTTCCACACTGATACCTGATAAGCGCTGAACTCAGATCTCGCTACCCCCCTGCCATCCCTGCCAAGGACAGAATGTGCAGTCTACTTACAACTACTGTAAAAACAACGATGCAAACCAGAAAAACAAAGTCGAACTATCTCGTGCTGGTCAGGGACAGAAACCAAAGGAAGGTCCCCCAAGGGCTGAGCCAGTATCTCAGCTGCTGGAAACAGCACCAGGCGCATCGCCCCCACCCCCAAGGTCTTTCTCCTCCACTGAGGCTGAGCCCCATTTCCCCCCAGCAACTTTCTGCCAAACATTTATTCCCCCTGGAATATCAGACGAGACACCCCACAGCCCACCTGGGGCCTGAAGGTACTCCCCTCCCACCCCCCAATAATAGAATCCCATGGGATAAGGGTTCTGTTTTTCTTAACACTCTGACATCAAAGTCTACCCATAAGGTCAACTGTGAGACGCCCTTGGCCTTCTGCCGAATTGGAAAGTGTCCACCTGCAAACAGCCGGCCATCCTCAAAGGCCATTCGGGCCCAGCAGCCTCCTCTGAGCTGGTCCTGGCACCAAGGCACCAGAGCCAAACCCTCCCACAGGCAGGCGGCTGGGACCCAGAGTGCAGACCTCGAGGGTAAGGCAAGGCCAGACCAGTTTCCTCTTCCCCTACTGGGCCAAGGTCACGCAGGGTCAGGGAACCGGCATTTGGCTGAGGCGCCTGTTTTAGTGGGAGGGAAAGACATTTCTGTTTCATCTATTCCAAATCTACCATCCAGAATTGAACCAACCCAGGATCGCGAGAGGGGAAAGTAAGTTTAGAGCGAACTTAGGAGAGCTTCCCAAATGAAGTGCTCTTTTCCTCCTCTGTGAAATTCATCGAGTTTTATTTTAAGGCATGAATCTGTCAGACTTCTAAAATAATGGAGAGGATAAAGCAGTTGTTCAAAAAAAAAGGGGGGGCCTTTTTGAAAGGAGGGTCCAGCTGAGGAACTCCCTGCTGATGGCAGAGAGTTGTCCCTTCCCTAGGATTAGCAAGACCCCATGGGCTCTCCCCCTCCTCCCGGACACCCCTAATCAGAATGTTAGGCAGGGAAACGTCCCCGGTCTATTGATGTGGCTTTCCACCCAGGCGTTCCCTGAAACCCTTCCCTAGGAGGTCTTAGCTTGCTCTGACTTGTCATCTCCCGTCAAGAATTTAAACATAAAAATCCCTGAGAAGTTGGATTTGATGAAAAGGAAATGACCCTTGGCACTGAGAGGGCGGGAGAGGGAAGCCGGGTGGGGAAAAGCCAACAGGAGGGCTGTGTGAAGGGAACCGCATCCACGGGCAGAGTGGACACTTGTGGGTGGACACACCAGGCAGGGCACGGGGACGCTTCAGGGGTTGGCATGAGTCTCAGAACAGACCCAGGCAGCGGGGTCTGCCTGGTTTGCCCGCCGAGGCTGGGATGGGCCCCGGGAGACCCCCACCCCGACGGCCCCCTCGCAGGCCCTCCTCTTCCTGCGGCGGCAGCAGCAGCAGCAGCAGAGACCAGTCACGGTTTTTTCCTCTCAAAGTGCGGCACGATCCCGCTGTCTTCAGGCCGTGGGCTTCCGGCCCCCTCCGTCTCCTTCAGGCCTTCCTCAGCCAGCTGGGACAGGTACTTCTGCGGAGTGGAGACAGGGACAAAGGGGAAAAGGCGAGAGTTAGCCAGGATCTGCTGAGAAAAGAGGGATGGGCGAGGTGAGCTCTGGTCCTCTCCTACCGGCTTGCCTAGAGCTCTGCGCTAACCACTACGCTCCCTCCCTTTCTTAGCATTAGCCCCGAAGGCAGGACGTCACAGCCACGGCCTTCAGTCTGGTCAAATTCTGGGCCTTTTTCACAATGAACCACAATTCTACTCATTCTCCAGAAGAGCCCCAACCTCCAGGCAGCTGCTCACACGTGAAAAGCAGAGGGAGGAGAACTTTCCAGATGGATGTTGGAAGGATGGGAGGAGAAAAAATACTGTCCGATAGCAATTGTGAAAGATAAACCTCGGCCTGACACGTGAGCTTCTGGACAACCTGCTTCCTGTCAGGCCTGCGGGCAGCTAAGTGCCCTGGAGGGCCACACTGGGTTTCTGTTCCAAGTGGCGGTCTGGGCCCTTCCCTGCTCACTCACTGGCCTCCCTGGCTCTCTGCCCACCCCTGGATTCCATCCAGCGAGCTGGAGGGAGAGAGGGAAGCTTTGATCACTGGGGCTGCAAAGAGCACTGGAATAGGAGCAGGCACAGTGGTTGCGTGTGTGGGCTGTGCTGTCCAATGACGTGGGCTCTGCTGTCCAATGACTCGGGTTCAAATTCCAGGTCTCGGCAGACAAGCTACCCCAAGTTTCTGGCATCTGTACTGTAAGCATAACAATGGGAATTTTTGAACCCATCTTCTGTTACCATGGAGAAATATCAAGGGCAAATTCTAGAGCAATCCTGCGGTGAACCATGTGAAAGGCATCTGAGTGGATCCTCGGGTTAGAAAATTGAATTTGATAAAAGTAACTTGAATTTTATTAAACCTTCCTAAGGGAAAAATAGCCCTCCCCCCCCAACCAAAACAATAGTAACCATAGCAGAAGGTTGCTATGAAGGTCCAGAATGGTACCCAAAGCACCAAACACAGTGCTCATCACAGAAGAAAGGCTTGGGCATGCTGTCCTTTCTCCTGAGCGGAACCAGTCATCTAGTGTGGGGGCAGGACTTCAGTCTCCCAATCTGTACAATGGGGGAAGGGGGTAGTGCTACTCCTGACTGGTTCTGAGGGTCAGGCAGGACTTAGACAGAAGCAGGTCAGGTCTGTCAGCTTTCTCAGAAGACACTTGTTTGGTGAGGTGAGGAGCCTGAGGGATAGCAGTAAGGGAAGTCATGGACCCCTGGGAGTGCAGCTGCTGCCTGAGGACTGAGTTCTCCTGGGTCTCCCCTCAGGAAGGAAAATGCATGTCTGACAAGCAAGAGGCGAGTGCGCCGTGGACAGTCTCCTGCCTCCTACCCGTCATTGCGTCCTGGCTCTTCCTGTCGTTCTGGATCCCTCTGGGAGGGTTCTTGGGGGTGTGACCCCCACATAGGGGGGCTGCCGGGTGCGCAGGGGCCTGCCACCTGCTGCTGCCTCCCAGAGCACCCCCACCCCGGCCAGAAAGCCTCCTGGTGGGTGCTAAGCTTATGAGGTGCCTGACCTCTCTGTCAGCCAGCACTGGCTGCTCGCATCAGAATTCTTCTCTTTTCACAAGTGGAACGTGGGGTGGGCGAGCCCGTGCAGACAGAGTCGTTCTCAAGGCCATGATGGAAACTCTATCTGGGCCGTCTGCGGCAGAGGCTGGCACCCAGTTCCCGGACAGGTGTGTGGGGAAACCCGAACCGAGTGGGCGGGTCAGAGGGGTTTAGCCACTGTCTGGCCCCTGCGTGCCTGGGGACCACAGGAATGGCTCTTGTCTGTCGTGGGAGTCTATTTGGGGTAGCTGGCCTAGACTCCCACATCACAGCTCCTGCGGCTGCCATAGCAGGATCTGGAATCAGAGGCCCTGACTGGCCTGTCTTCATCCTGACTTTCAGCTGATCCTGGTCTGGGCCGTCTCCTTGGAGGCAGCACAATCCCGCAGGGAAGGCTGGAGGAGGTATCAAGGCACCAGCACCTGCTGGGGAGGTCTCATACACATTCTCAGGCCCGGCTGAGAGAAAATGCATCATGAGGTACCAGCTGGGCCAGGACACTGTGTTCTGGAAAGATGACAGTGGCTTTGAGGACCAAGGTGTGGGGGAATCAGCACCAGGTGATTTTTGAGAGCCCCCTCATTTCCAGCAGTTCAGGCAGGAGATGATGAAGCAGGACACACAGCTTCCCTCAGCTGCCTCTCTGACGCTCAGGCTGAAGCCTCTGTGTGGCCGTGTCAGCCCTTGAGAGGAATTGGGGGCGAGGGGGTGTCCCCTAGGCAAGGACTGACCCCGGCCCTGGGTCCCATGGTTTCCTCAGCCACCGAGCAGCTGCTCTCTGGAGGGAAACCAAGTGGCTTAAGTGACCTGTGCTTGGGCAGAGCCAAGGCCAGTCTCTCACACAAAGTGACCCAGCCCATGGCATTATGGGTCTCAGCTTGCAAGACCAGCTGAGGAAGGAAGGGGAGAGTGATTAGGCATCAGGTGACCTGGCCACTGACCATCTGCATGATCGGGAACCAATGAGAGTCTCAATACTCCAGGCCTCAGTTTCCTCAATTATAAAACAAGCACAAAACAGTCTTAGTTCACTGTTTGGATTGTTTGAAGTGCTTTCTTAGATTCTTGGGTCGTCCCCAAATTCTACTGTCTTGTGGAGCACTGTTTGGAGATTCTGGGTCACCTCCCCAGTAATCCATGGTTAGATGAGACCCTCTTTCACAAGGAAAGTGACAGTGATGTTGTGAGGGCACACCCGGGGGACTTCCCCAGTCAAACGATTAGCCTGAGGCCTAGCAGTAAGACCAAAGGGGAACCGAGAGATACTCACCCCTGCGTAAAGACACACCAGGCTTCCTGGGTTTGAGTTGTTTAACCCAGTATTAGTTATGAAAGCCATGTCCTAAGATGCTATTTTAGGTGTATGTTAAAGAACATGAAGCTACCACATTGTGTAGATTTTGAGAGCCCCCTCATCCAGCCCTGCTCTGCAGTCCAGGCAGGAGATGATGAAGCAGGACACACAGCTGCCCTCAGCTGCCTCTCTGACGCTCAGGCTGAAGCCTCTGGGTGGCCGTGTCAGCCCTTGAGCGGGATTGGCCACACCTTGGTCCCCATACACACATGTGAACATTTCTGAAATGGACCTGCATTTTATAGCTGGTGGAGTCGCAACTCCATTTACAACTCTTTTTCCTTCCCTGGTTCGTATCAAAACAATTCTTGTGTATCTTGCAAGCCATGGCACCTCAGGATGATTTTAATAGGTCCCTTTCGCTAGACTATACAACTTGTCATATTTATGGGTTATCTCCTGTCGTATAACAGAAGCTTCACCCAGAGGAGGGAAAAAGAGATTTTTTTCTGGTTATTGTGTTCCCGGTGGCTAGAGCGATGTCCGGAATGTAACTACCTGTGATAAGCAGCTAGGATCTGGATGCTCCTGTAAACAGAACTCACTCATGGCTGGTTTCCCAGCAAGCAAAGAAGCATGAAGGAAGAGAGATGATGAGAAAACGCTGTAGCAGGAACACATGGGGCTGGGGCAAATATTTGTGTCTCAACCTCAGGCCAGGAGAACGCTAGGTCACTTGGCTGAATCGAGCAGGAGGGCGGGTAGGGAAAAGACCCCGAGCAGTTGTTTAAGTATCAAGAGGGGCACAGGCCCCCTGCTCTGGAGAGCAGCCTGACGGGCTCAGGGCCCAGGGAAGAGTAGGGAGTCGGAAGGTGGAGAGTCCTAGAAACAGAGCCGGGGTGCCGGCTGGGGGTTACCTGTAGGTTCCTGTAGTGGATGGCGCTCCGGCAGTGGCTCATCTTGGCCATCTCCTCGCTGGTATAGAACAGTCCGCACAGCTTGCAGTAAAAGCCAGTTCGGGGCACCACGAACTCCACCCCTGGGGAAGGCGAGGGATGGACAAGAGTCATGAGGAAAGTGCGAAGAGGCCCAGGGTCCTGCCCACTTCCAGGTGGACAGAGGACTAGTGAGGTGCAGCTCTTCTTGCTCTTGACTTTGGTTCGTTACCCAGTTTCTCCCAGCCTCAGTTTCCTCTTTGGCTCTGACTACCCTCACAATTAGTAAACTGGGGGTGGGGGAGGGTGCAAGTGTTCCCTGAAGCGGGGGCGGAAGGGTGCTTAGAAATCACCAGTTGCTGGAATTCAGGTCCTGGCTAAAAGCCCATGTTTTGGTTTTGGAAAGGGCATCTTTTCAAACAAAAGCAAGGAAATATCACCCAGAGATAGTCGGATCTAAATATTTTCTTGCAGACTATCTGTACATAAAACATTTGGGGTGAGAGGCAATTACATTCATCCCTGGGTGCAATTCCTTCTCCTCGCTCCTCCTTTTTTTTTAAACCTAAGAGTACAGTGACAGTGACAGTGGCCTAAGAGTAAATCAGAAACATCCCCCAACCTTTACGTGGGACCTATGGATGGTGACTCCTTCCATCTTCAAGTCATTAATATAAGCGCTGGGGACTCAGGAAGGCCTTTTGATCCCCAGAAAACTGTCCTGGCAGCCAAAGAAATGACTGTGCCCCAGTCCTGAGCATTGCTCTGCAGAGAGACAGGGGCTGCCCCTCTTCCACCCTCTCCCCCCCCCAGAATGGTCAGCACAGTGCAGAGCCCTCTTTGGGTCCAAGAGGGCACAAGTCGGATGCTGGGAACTTGCAGAGGGTCAGCTGAACCCTACCAGGGTCCTCAACTGGGAAGGAATCACACCGAGGTGCCTGCAAGACACCAGAAAGGAGCAGGGCCGAGGGGGACCACACCACAGGGGCACCCACATCCAGCTCTGCAGGGGGCCAAGGCCAGGCCAGTGTGTGCTGCCTCGCTTGGCTGCACTGGTGCTTCCCATCAGCTCTGCCAGGGGGTGGTGGGAGGAGGGAGGGAGGGAAAGAGAGAGAGAGAGAGGGAGGGGTGGGAAGACAAAAGCAGACCTGGGGAAGAGAAGGAGCTGGAGGGACTGAGGATGGAAAGGGAAAGGAGAAGAGGAAGAAGAGGAAGAGGAGCAGGAGAGAGGGAGAGAGGGAGAGGGAGAGAGGGAAAGAGGTGGGAGAAAGCAGTGGGATGGAGGGAGAAAAGTGGGGGTGCCCCCGGGAACAGGCCTGAGCCCAGGTTCCCTTCCCCTTTCCTCCTGTCTCAGGACACAGAGCCAAGGCCACTAGAGACCTGCCCAGCGACCTTGGTCTTATTTCCAAAAAGCCACTTATCAGTTTGGAGGGGCAGGCCAGGCTGCCTTGGTGGACGGCGCTGCTGTGGTTTGGGGCTGGGCGGTCAGTTTCCCAACTGCCACGTCGCCAGGCTCTGCCCTATGGCCCCAGCAATCCCCAGGAGGCCTAGAGGCAGGGGGACTCACTGGCCTGCTGCCCCAGGGAAGTCTGAGGGTCCTGTCCTTATTCCAGAGAAGGATACTGCAAAAGAGGCTGCAAAGAGAGGCTCCTGGAAGGGAGTTCCAGCTTCACTTGGGGTCGGGGCTTCTGGCCTCAAGCTCGGGGTCTGGCTCCTGGCTCCTCCGGCTGGCTAAGGAACATTAAACAGGGCCCACACTCAACAGTCCGGCCCTGGGGTTGCCCCGCGGGTGGCGGCACCCCACGGAGGAGGGCGGGAGGAGCAGGAGGCGCGCCCCCTGGAGGCCACACTGAGCAGGCGCAGGCCTGAGAGCAGGGGCGGCCCCAGGAAGCAAAAGGGCTTCTCACTGCAGGTCCTCACGGCCACTCCCAGTCCCAGCCGGGGCTCCCCGCAAGGGGACGGTTGCCAAAACACTACTTCCAAGACACAGGCAAAAATGGTTCTCCACAGAGGCCAATGGCCCACAGCTGGGGCAGTGGCCTCCACGCTCTGACCTTCCCCAGGGCCACCTCCAGAGCCAGAGGAGTTTGGAGGGTGCTTTTGCCCCTGGGGGTTGTTGGGATTTCCTGAGACACGCCTCCCCTACGCCCCCCAGTGCCTCAGATGCCTCTGGAACGCAAGGCCCCATGAACAGCATCAAAAAAAATCAAACAAACAAACAAGCAAAAACTCTGCCACAGCCCGAACAAGTTCTAGAGCCACTTGGTCCAACCATTTTCCAGTCTCTATTAAGCACCATCATTAAAGCAGCATTTGCCTTCTAATAATAGCTCCTGGCATGAGTAATTACAACTCTGCCATCCCAGCAAGCCTTGCACGGGGGAGGGGGAGCGCGAGTCTGCAGTGGGTTCTGGGAAGGACAGGCCTTGGCAGGCCCTATGCTGGCTGGGGTCACTAGAGGCGGCATCCTTGCTCTTCAAGTCTTCAAGCCCCCAGCCCTGACCCCCGACTGTGGGCTCCTTGCACTCCTCATTCATCCTGCCTCTCTGCTCTCTGGAACCACAAATCCCCCAAAGTTGTGCTCCACCAGCCTGGATATATCTCTGCAGTAGCCACTGACCCTGGAGGACTCTGGGTCATGCACCAGAGAAAACGCTGCAGGTCCCACAAACTACTTCAAAACCAATAGTAACAGTTCCTCCTGCTGGAAGATGCAGAGACCTTGCGAGCATCTGCTCACTTAATCCTCAAAACTGCCCGACCTAGTCGCTTCTCGAACGGTCCTCGTATTTACAAGTGAAGGAAGCCAAGTCTCGAGGTTGGCGAGGCCACCCGCTACGGTCCGGCCAGCTGGATTTGAACCAGGGAGTCCGATTCCACACTCTGAGCTCTTCCTCATGGCACAAAAATGGCCTTTTCTGGGCTGCGGTGATGGCTCTGGGGACCAGGGACACAGGTCTTACATGGGCAGGGACACAAGTTTGGCCCCTAGAGCGGTGTGCTCCCCTGCACCTCTGTAGCTCTGGTGGTCCCCAGCAGTTTGGGACCTCAGCAGAGCCCCAGCGCTGGGCCTGAGCATTCGACCATCTGACAAGGTTGGCCAGGTTCACTGGGAGTAGTACTCCAACGCCTCAGCACCACTCGGGAGGTCCATAACAACAACAACAACAACAACAACAACAACAACAACAACAAACAATAACAACAAAAACAGCCATTTCTGTGTCTGCTCCAACCCAGAGGAACCTCAGGCAGTGCAGTATCAGGTCAGAAAACCTGAACACAACCTCTGGGCTTCTGAGATGTGTGAGGGCAGCACCACAGAGTTCGTGATCATCAAGGTCTGGAGTCTGGATTCCAGCAGCTTCTTCTCCGGTCAGTGATGTCTTCCCACTGACACCACCAAATGAACAGGTCTCAAGGCTAACTAAAGAGCTTATTTAAGACAGAAATAAAACCCAGAAAGATCCAAATGTCCACCAAACAGGTAAATGAATTAAGCTGCGGCCTAGCCAGAGCAGCATTCCTCAAGAGTAAAAAGAAAACAGCTATGCAGGCTGGAGAGAGAAGAAAGGGGTTAAGGTACTACCTTGCAAGAAGCCACCCTCTGTCTGGTCCCTGGCACTGTGCACAGTACCCCAAGCACTGTGGGGAGTAATTCTTGAGCACAGAGCCAGAAATAAGCCCTGAGTACCTCTGGGTGTGCCCTCCTCTCCAAAGTCAGCTGCCAACGTCCCCCCGCAATCTGGCCCAATTTCCAAAAAGTCAGATAAGAACAGCAAATATCATGTGATTCCCTTTCTATACAACTCTAGACTGCAAACTAATTTTTCACACTAATGACCAGAGCAGATAAGTGGGGACCTGGCAATAGAGGGGTAGCTAGAGAAGGATCACAAAAAAGAATTGGGAAGTCTGGGTGTGATAAATGTGTGGTCAGGGTCCTGTCAATCATACATCAGTAGAGAGTGTCGGAAAAGACAGAATGAGATATCTCTTATCCTAAGCAGATTGGTGATGACTGGATATGAATTACAATTCCATTCTGGCGAGGAGAAACTCTTATCAAGGTAGCAGGAAAACTGGCATCACCATTTTGGGTGTAATTTAGCGGTGATTACGAAAATTTGAGGTGCAAGTGCCTGTGACGCTGGACTCCCCCACCCTCAAGGGCACTGAGGTACCAACAGTGGCACCCACACAGAGGCAGCTACACATTTGAAAGCAGCAAGGCTTGGCTAGAGGCAGCACAGTTGCAGGAGTGAAACCACCAGGGTTTGAATCCTGTGACCTGGCCCTCACACTTTTCTGGAAAACGGGTGAATCATTCTCTCTACCTCCTATGTGTCCAGAGAAAGTTAAATATGCTAACAGATGCAAAAAAAACTTGGAATCATGCCTGCAAGATAAAATTAAAAGCAATATTAAAGCATTATTGGGGGAAATTAAAAATAACCTAAATGTTCCCACCAGTGGAAAAGTGGTTCCATAAATTATGGAATATCTGGACGTTGGAATCTCTACAGTGGTTAAAAAGAATGCTCCCCATGTACTGACGTGAAGAAATCTCTATGACTCATTGGTTAGTTTAATAAAAAAAATAGTAAAGAAAGCAATCTGCAGGACCCCATGTCTGTGGGAGCAAAATGATCTATGAGTATAACAACCTCCAGAGTTGGGAAGAGACTGAGGAAAGAGAAGTTTAATATTTAACATGGTTCATCGACAATTTGGCTATAATTTTTTTTGTAATGAGAAACAATAAGAAGACAGAAATTAGAAGGTAGAAGAATGTTCTCTTAGGTTTTTGGCTGCATGGGTCAATTAGATGACAAGTTTTCGGATTTCCAGAGACTTGGGTTCCGCCCCAGTCCCTCCTACCAGCCCTCTGCACAGTTGCTGACTGAACAAAGGGGCGCCCAGGCAATAGAATGCAGATACCTTTCTCCTGAGAGGAGGCAGGCTCTGCAACCATTGTCCAGAGTGAACATACACAGGCCTATGTGCAGTCCTCTGAATTCATTCTAAGGTCAGTATTTCTCTTCTTAAGTGTTTGGGACCTGGGGGCATGCTAGATGCTGAACAGATTTTTTTTTTTTCTTTTTGGGTCACACCCGGCGATGCTCAGGGGTTACTCCTGGCTCATGCACTCAGGAATTACTCCTGGCGGTGCTCGGGGGACCATATGGGATGCTGGGAATCGAACCTGGGTCGGCTATGTTGGCTGCATGCAAGGCAAACGCCCTACCTGCTGTGCTATCGCTCCAGCCCCGCTGAACAGATTTTTCTTTCTTTTTTTTTTAAGGACATTTTCTGTCGAGATCTGATTTCACTGGGAAGAAAGGGGTGGGAGAAAGCTAAGAAACTTTTCAAGGGGAAGATAAGTAAACGAGTAACGGGGTGGGGGGGGAGGGTGAGTCTCCACAGACCTGGCAGTGGGCACCCCATAGCCCACCTGCTCCTTCTGCCTTCCTGACCAGGAGCTCTGAGTGTCACTGCGAGTGTCACCGCTTGCCAGACATTCAGAGGCCATGCAAACACTCAGAGACCACGTGGCTGGAGTGTCCCTAACTCCCAGTGTCCCTAACTTCTTGGGCTGCCCAACAGTGCTTGGGAGCCAGATAGGGCCATATGGAGCGGTCACTCTCCCCACCCCCCCACCCCCAGCGCTGTCCTCTTGAGCCCCTGAATTTAAAGTATTACACGTTCTACACTAAGACTCTACATGCTTCTCTTTGAAAACGTGTTTTTGAGTCATGCTGTGAGTGACGACCGCCCCCCCCCGCCCCCCCCCCCCCCCCCGGCCCTCATACTTCCACCATGGAAGTGATGTGATCCGCTGATGTGATCTGATTCCAGGTCAGGAAAATAAGGCTCAGGAACTTCCAGCCCATCATTCCCTGCCTGAGGCCCCTTCTCAGCAAAATCAAACCCCCAGGTCCCCTCCCTGGGCAGAACAGGGCCTGGTTCAATTATGCCTGGGTCAGGAGAGTCCCCAAAGTTCCTCCCCAATCAAGTTTTCTTTTTAACTTTTTTCTCTGTCATTTTCCTTTCCTTTCCCATCCCTCGTCCCTCCTCCGTTCCCTCCCTCCCTCTCTCCCTTATTTCCATCCCGTTTTTTTTGCCACACCCAACAGTGCTCAGGGATCACTCCTGGTGGTCCTCAGGAGACCATATGTAGCATTGGGGTTCAATCTTGGGTCAACCACATGTTAAGCAAATGCCCTTCCCACTGCACTATTTTTCTGAACTCTTTTTTTCCCCTTCCTTCCATCTTCCCTCTTTCTTTCTCTCCCTTTTCTTCCCCCCCGCCTTTGTTTTCTTTCTCTTTCCTTTTCTTCTGTCTCCCCTCTCCTATGCAGTCACCCAGAAAAGGAAAAGGAAGGTGAATGAGCCAGACCTCTCCTTGCTGTACCTTCTACAACTGTCCAGGGTCCAACCAAACGCAGTCTATGCACCACCACTGCTAGTCAGAGAAGTTGGTCCCTCAGCGAGGGGGAATGCAGCCTTCTTCGGGCAGGGGTGGGTAGGGAGGGGAAGAAAGACAGCAGCGGCAGAGGCTCATGCCTGCTGGCTTTGTGGCTGCCATTGGGCGTTTGTTTCCCTGTCCCAGTACGGCTGTGTGGGTCTGGAACGAGGCTTCCTTGAGGGAAACATGGGAGGGAAACATGGGTCTCTCTCAGCCCTGGTGCCTAGGCAGTGCCCTGCAGGACTGGGTGAGGTATTGGCTGTGCTGTTTCAGCCCTGGAAATTGTAAGAGACTTTACAGGAACACCTTGCCAAGGTTATTGCAAGAAGTATTGAAAATGACAAAAGGAAAAAAAAAAAGCAAACGGTCCTCTCATGTTCGCAGCTGTCACTGTGGAATGAACACTTCCTGGGTTTGTGGGATTCACCTACCCAGAGGAATGCTAAGTTCGCTGAACACATCCTCGGGCTCCCAGGAGGGCAGAGCAAGGGGCTGTTTCAGCTCCACTTCAGTGTATTCTGGTGACCTCACGTCCAGAGATTTCATTTCCCCGAACCTGGAGCTTTCTGCAAAACAGGAGCCAAAGCCAAAATGGAATGAATCCTACCAGCCTCGGAGCCTGGGCTGCTCCCTCCTCCCCTCCCACTCCCCCTTGGGACTGCTTAATAACATGCAGCTAGGGTGACAACTTCTAATTAGAACCAAAGTGCTATAATTAAGCCCTTTTTTCCAGCATGAAAAGAATGCCACACACATCATAAAACAGGGCAAATCTCTTTCCCGGGTTGGGGCAAGGCGATGCGATGCGTTAGCCACTCGCTATCGCTCCATCTCTGCGGGCACAATTGTGGAAGGGCAAAGATTGTGCTGACAGCTGCAGGAGTCCTCCGGCGGGCGAGGGAAGGGCAATGCCACTTCTCTCCCCGAGCTTGTCGTTGGCGGGTGCTGTTATTAAACTCGAACTCCAAAGCACCGAGGAAGCTAAGAAGCCAGGGACGCTAGTGTATGTTGAAGCCTCTACCGCCGAGCGGGAATGAGATTCAAGCAAGGAGGGGAAAAAAATATCACTCCCCCACTTCAGTCTTGGTTTCTCTCTGGACTCAGCAGTCCTCTAGCAACAAGGAGGCAGAGCTCGCGGTTTCCATGGAGACGCAGCCCCATGCAGGTGGAAACCGCCCAGGTCAGCAAGGTGTGGAGCGAAGCTACTCCTGCAGTTCAAGCTGAGACAGCACGCAGGGGTTTTTTTTTTTCTGATTTTTTTCTTTGTGGGGGTGCCCACTCCATGCTTAGCAGTGCTTAGGGACTACTTCAGGCAGTGCTGGGGGGGGGGGTGGGAATCATGGGTGATGCCAGGGATCGATCCAGCACTTGGCACGCAGTCGGCCACATGCAAGGCAAGCCCCCACGGCTCTTGTACCATCTCACTGTTGTCTGGAAACCTTCCCTCTCTATTTTCTACCCCTTGGCTCTCCTCCTCCTCCTTTCAACTCCTGTTTTCCTGTAGGTCTTCTGGGGAAGGAGTCTAGTAATTTTCACTAGGAGAACACTGAGGGGCTCCTCTCGCTCCCTAACCCCACCCCACCCCCTCTCCCGCTAGAGCCCTTGATGGAGCGTAGTTTCCACTTGGCAGGGAAGACAGGGCTTAGTCTATTTTAAACTCTCTTTCGTGATGTCATAGTGCTGGCCACAGACACAACATCGCCTCCAATGAGGCAGAGGAGATACCAGGACAAGTTGGGTTTCACTGTCAGGCCCTGGAAAAAAACAGGTCTGAAGTAGTAAGAAGGGGAACAGGCCACGCCCCCTCGTTCCTCCCTCTGGCCATTCTTGAATCCTGCCCCACCCCAGCCCCCCAATAACTAGCAGCCTCGGTGGTCCCCAAGAGAGGCTGCTTGCAGGTGTCAAGGAACCCCAGCTTGGCTGGCTGGTAACTCCAAACCTTTGCTAAGTTTTGTCACCAGAGTCCACCTGGGTTCTGGGAAATTGAGAGACTTCTGCTGTGCGCTGGCTTCTTCGGGGTGCCAGGCTTTCCTGATTTCCCTTCTTTCATTAATCTGAGAGCTCTAGCAGTCCTGCCAGGCTTGGAAAGCGGTGCCAGCCCTCATGCTCATCCTCACCTTCCTTCTGTTCCTCCTAGCCAGCCGCACCTACACTTCCGGGGGAGCAGAGGTCCCCGCAGCCCACCCACACATGAGAAAAGGGAGGTAGTTACCCGGGCTCAACACTTCTTGGCAAGCCTGGCTTTGGAGGTCGGTATCGGTGCGGGGGCTGGCTTTCTCCTCCAAGGGGCTGCCTTCACAAACCCCATCTTCGGGGCTCGCCCTGGCCTTGTGGTCATCGAGAAGTGGGCTAGGCTGCCGGGCCCTCTCCTCGGCGGGCTTGGGGGAAGACATTTGCTGGACTGCAGGGGCCGGACGAGCATCTGAGCTCTCCGCTCCCTTTGCCCGCTTCTCGTAGCAATCTGAACCCTCCAGTGAGAGGCCTGTCTCACATTCAGCTGGCTTCCGCTCAGCGTCCAGATTTAGGCCAGGCATTTCCACGTCCATGTCACCGGGATGGCTCGTGGAAGCAGGAGGCAGCTCTCTGGATGACTTGCGGGTGATTTCTGCAGCCCCGTTCCCTAGGGTCTTGACCCTCTCCTGGGTGGAATCCTTGGCTAAATCCAGGTCTAAGGCCGTCACACAGGGACACATTTCTGGGCAGAGTTTGTCCCTCTGGTCAATGGGCACAATCTCATCCAGCTCTGGGATGTCGGGTTCCATGATAAAATCTTCTTCTTCCCCCACCTCATCCACGGTGACCAGCTCCTCCATGTTCGTGGGGTACCAGCTCTCCCCCTCTGCTTCACTTTCGCTCTCCCAGGCTGGATCCTGAACAAGAGTACACCATGAAGGTTAAAGGATGGTGGAGTCTTGCTAGTCAACCGGTAAGGCAGAGACCTTTACCACAAAACCCTTCTAACCAGAAAGATCCTTTGCCACAAAACCCCTCAAAGCAGAAAGCAGCATTCTTACTGCTACCTGCAAATAATTACTGGGTAATTAGGGGGATAAACCACTCAAGTCCCTTATCCCTGACTCATCCTGAGGTCGAAGCTCAGAACAGCACAGCTTGGGATAAGTCCTTACTGCTTAATTCACCAGCTTTTAAGTTGTAAGAATAATTGCCACCCGTGGCACACAATAGGTGCTCAATAATTAGGCATAATTCCCACAACCGTGGCTCATCCTTGCCCGTCCGCCCATGCCGGACACTTTCCCATGGACCCAGCAGCCAGAGCAAACAGATGAGCTCCCCTGCCCGCCCTTCCCAGCACTCTGCCTCTCTGCACCAGAAAGACACGAAGCTGGCTGTGTTTCAAGGACATTTCTTTTTGTTATAATAGCCCCAGCAGGGGAAACTGTGTGTGTGTGTGTGTTTTCATTTTAATCAAGTAAAATAATCCTTGTAAAAGCACAGTAGAGGTCTTGTTAATCCCAGGGACTGAGCCAGCTGAGGTCAGTGCCCAGCTCAAGTGCTTGAAGCCGGCCCTCTCCCCGGCACCCCCATCCCAGCCCCGTGCTGGCTCCTCCCAAGGGACCTGTCTATTTTGGGAGCCTGGCTCTGAAGCCGGAGTCTTTTCTGGGCCACATGTTTTCTCTGATGAGCACAGCCAAGAGACGGGGAAGTCCACGCAGGAGGCTACGGTCTGCAGCGAGACTGCCCGAAGCCTGTGAGCGAAGCCCTTCCTCCCAGGATGGGGAGACTTGGTCCCCAAGGGCTGGTCTGCCACCGTGACTGCAAAGCTCGCTTCTGGAAGCGACTTTACCTTCTGTGTGCCTGTGTTTTCTGTGTCAGAGGTCTCAGCTTCTTTTTCCCTCCTGGCCAATGATGGGGACTCTTCTTCCTTGCCTTCCTCGCCTTCCTCCTCCTCTTTTCCAGCCTTACCAAAGGAAGAACAGAACCAACCGATCAATAGTGAGCACGAGTGGGAAAAACAGAGCGCACAGAGAGAACAGTATGACACGGAGCACAGCTAACCCTCTGTGGGCATGTCTCACACACTCCTTCCTTGAACCCTACTGAACTTCCCTTAGAGGTGGGCACTCCTGCAATCTTCATCAGACAGACACAAAACGGAGACTCAGAGAAGTGAAATCAATTTCTCAAGGTCACACAAAGGGCAGCAGGTATAGGCCTGTCTTCAGAGCCAGCCTGATGTCTAAAGGGAAGGTGGAACAGAAATCCCCAGCAAACTCAAGATAGTTTGTAGATGTGAAACCCATACCAGTGAGAGTAAGCCCAGGACTAACAGGCATCATGGTAACATCTCTGTCTTGGTTAGAAAAGAATTTAAATAGTGAGTGTCTGGGCAGGAAGCAGGTAGTCTGCCAACCATCGGTCCTGGGACCTCTTTTTCTGTTCTAGGCTCTAGCTAGATTTAGGGAGTATGGGCTAGGGGGCCGGGGAGATAGCTCAGAGGGCTGGAGCACATGCCTGACATGCATGCGTGACCCCGGGTTTGAGCCTCAGGACCACAGCCCTGGACTTGTGCACCAAACGATCAGAGCATTTCGGGGTGGCTTCTATTAAAAATTAAAAATAAATTATGTGTCAGAGAAGTAGTACAGGGGCAAGACGCCTGTCTTACATGCAGCTGATCCTGGTTCAGTCCCCACAACACCACCAGGAGTGATCCTTAAGCCCAGAATACCAACTCCCCTCCAAATTAAAAAAATAATAATAATTAAAATAAATAGGGATCAGCTATCTAGAATTCACAAATCAGATCTGATCCACTGTCTGTTTTTGTACAGTCAGTGAGTTAATTATGCTCATCACATTCTTAAATAGTTACATTTGGGGTACTCAGGGATTACTTCTGGCTGTGCTTAGGGGACTGTATACGGTGCCTGGATCAAACCAGGTTCAGCCACTTACAGTGCAAACTATCTCTCTGGTCCCTCAAATTGCATTTTTAAAATGATAAATAAACATCCAAATTAGATCCTTGATTTTGCCTTTTGACCCACATAGGCTGAAACATCTACTATCTGATGCTTCACAGAAAAGGCTTGCCAATGACATTTCAAAAGTTTTTGAGTGAAATATTCCCTCATGCTGTAAATACTGGCCAGCAAGTCACTATTTCCAGTATCCTCGGGGCAAGTTGCTTTTTCTCATCTGGGACTGAGGTTGGTTCAAAGCAAATGACTCTGGTTCTGATTTCTTACATGCAGACACACCTCCTGAGCTGACCAGGAGCCAGCTGGAGAAGAGCTCAGGGTGGACTGGTTTAGCCAGTTAATAGCAGACAGAGAAAGTTCCACTCTGAAAACCCCTGCTCCGTTCAGTGTTCGGAGCAACAGACAGCCGGAAAGCTTTGCTCAAGTCTTTTGTAGAGCTCACCAAAGTTCAAAGCAGCTTGAAATGCCTTTACCCACTGGAATCCCTAGCTTCTACCAACAGGGCAGTCCTTCCCTGGATCTTTGCCACCTCGGACAACTTTCCCATGATCCTCTCTTGTCAAGATAAACAGTCCTTACACTCCTCAAGCAGTTCCTGCAGTCACACTTCTAGACAACACAATGCAACGGAGGATCCACTCCAGCTTAAGCTGGTGAGACACGAACCAGTTCAAACCTTCCCAAGCCTCCAGCTCAGCCTAATCCTGCACGAAGAACACCTACTCTCCCTGCCTGCAGGCAAAGAAAACAGCAGAGTGCCTTTCAGTGGGCTCTGTGCCTTGGGATCATTCCCAGGTGACAGCAGTAGCTAACGGGGAACCAACAAAGGCAACTGTTGCACCAGACTGCTTACCCCAGACCCCAGACCAAAATATTAGATATTGAAAATGGGCTCTCAGAGCTTCTTCCTAACTAGTTTCTCAAGCCTGCTTCTAGCCTCATCCTAGGTCTGTTCTCCACAAGGCAGCCAAGGCTGCTGGTTCCAAACTGCAAAAATCTGAGTCCAGAGACATAAGGCAGCTGCTCAGAGCACCTGCTGAGCTTGAGTGAGTAGTTCAAGTCCCTGGTGCATGTGTGTGAGTGGGAGCCGGGAAGCTTTGCTCTCTGCAGTCCCTGGTGCCGTCTGGCCACCCTGTAGCCTGGTGAAGCCAGCACCACACAGGGACCCCTGGAAAGTGTCGTCATGAACAAGACGAGCAAGTGCGATGGGCAGGAAGTGCAGGCCCTGACTGACGGCCGCACGTGTGTGAGCACAGCAACAGTCCCGGGAGTACTGCCACCACCCTGAGTAACAGCCCCCAGAGAGCACGAGCGGAAACACCACTATTAAAGAGGTGCAAACTGAGAGGCATGCTGTGGTGGCGAGTCTGTGAGCTGAAAATGCTGCCTGGGCTGTTGTTGGATCTCCGATCAGTGCCTCAACAGAAAGAGAGGGAGGGGATAAAAACATTAGGAAGAAACTAAATAAATCCCCCAATGCAAAGACGCTCATTTCTGACTGCGCCTTCTCACATAAACATTTTTTCCCCTTACACTTCAAATAAGGACCCTTTAATTTGGTGACAAAGTCCTGTTGCCATATAAGCATCCCCTGTACAGTCAGAACCTGGCTTTCTGCTCCAGCACCACTGGTCTGCAGTCCCAAGACCTTGGCATGTGCTGTTCTTTCTTCTTTTTTTCTTTCTTTTTGGGTCACACCTGGCGATGCACAGGGGTTACTCCTGATTCATGCACTCAGGAATTACTTCTGGCAGTGCTCGGGGGACCATATGGGATGCTGGGAATCGAACCCAGGTTGGCTGCATGCAAGGCAAACGCCCTACCCACTGTGCTATCGCTCCAGCCCAAGCATGTACTCTTCTGTCACCAGGAATATGCCCACATCTCAACAGGCACATCCTGCTCCAGGGAAGCTAGTGGTTCATTATTAGCACCGGCACTCCCATCTCTAGTTCATACCACACTCCTCTCTGCTGATTTGAGGAATGATTTGATTCGTATATTTTTTCCACTAGGGCCACATGTTTCATGAGATGAGACGTCCTTTCAGTTTTCACTACAACTATAACCTCAGTACTAGATGCTTGGGGGATTCTGTTCATTTCTGTGGTACCTGGGATCATACCCAGGACCCCACACCTTCGAGGAGGCAAGTGCTCTGCCACTGGCTACAGTCCCTGACCTTCTCTGAATCCTGGTCACTAAAAAGAAGAGACAGAACGAGCAAATGACAAGTTCCCATCTGCCACCCGGTCTTGGCAGGCCCGGTCGTGGTCCGGACTCAGAACTGAACTGTTTTTTTCTCTTTCTGCCTGCTACAGATTGCTAATCACAGGGGCTGTATTCCCAGGACCCTTGGGTTGCATCAGGCCCACAGATATGTCTGTACACATCCACACAGTTCTAAAACACAAGGTATTTTCTATAGATGTCTGGACTTGGAGTTTGCTCTAAGAAACGAGACCTCTGATGGCCCAGGCTACATGGTCCTGGTCAGAGAGTGGAGATAGCACCTCCATGGTCCTGCCTCCCCACAGATCCAGGCCACGGTCCTGTGGGTTCCTTCCCCAAGGCTTCTGGGTCTGTCAACATGGGTGCTTCTTCCCCCTTGTTTTCTTTCCTTTTTCTGTGGTCCGGTGATCATGGTTGAGCCTCCTGAACAGACAGGGCCATGCCAGCACTAGGAGCAGAGACCATGGTCTCTCTAGTGGGGCCACGTGTCTACAGAGCTCTGGGAGCTTCTCAACAAAATCTCCCCACGGCCCTCTGGCCACGCTCTCTTCCAGACAGGAAAACTGAAGCAGAGCAGAATGGGAGTGGCCTGGTGTTCCAAAACCAGACTTTTGCCTCCGGAGTCTTAAGCTTAGTTATTCATTTCTTCAACAGGTATTTCTGGATTGCCAACTCTTGTGCTAAGCCTGCCTCTGGGCACTGGGGTCACCCCAGATAGAAATTCCTGTCTTCCTGGAAGCTACATTTGGGGCGGGGGGGGGGGTGAGGTGGGGGTAAGGATTGATGCCAATGAATAATTCTTTTTGGGGGGCTGCCTGCTCTCCCATGGCCGGGCCTCATCCTTCCGCCTGGACCTCCCAGGGACATCCTGTGGCTTGAGATACTTGTCCGATTTGCCTTTGGGCTCTTTCTGGTAGTAGCCGTCTTCCCGGCCTTTGTAGCCCATTGACCTAACAGGCAGAACAAATGAGGGGAGCAAAATTGACTTTGTTGTGTATGGGGGGCAGGGTGGGGAACTCATGGGGCCTTCTGGAAATTTCTCTTTGTACAGCAGAAGTGCTATTATAGGATGAACTATAATAATGCGTGTCACTGTGACAGGAAAGGCCGTGGTCCTATGAAACTGGAGGCAGGGTGGGTGAGGGACTGGAGAGGGGCAACTTCTCCCTTTTGCCTGATGGACAACAGGCTCGGGCTCTAGTTTGTGTGTGTGTGTGTGGTGGCGGGGGTGGGAGTGAGGGAAGGCATATGTATGAGGTCCAGACCGGCTCCGGCCACGACCACGACCATGCTGTGCCTTTTCTTAAGGTCCTGGCCTGTCATCAGAGCCACAGGTGCCTCCAAACACAGACACCCTCAAAAGTATCCAGGACAATGGGGTCTTTCCTGGGCTCGCCTCGCCACTGCCCTAACCTGATGGCTCTAAAGAGGTGCCATCTTGGGTGTCTGCAGGTTTCTGCAGCCTTGCAGGCTCAGCTCGGGCCTTGCTTATCCCACTCTCTCCAAGGCTACCTGCAGTGCAGCGAATCTCCTCCCCTGCGGAGCTCACACCACGGACGCCCTGAGAGCAGCACACCCAGCGGGTGCTCAGGCTCGCATGTTCCTCACCTAGACCAGCGTCCTCCTGGTCTCTGGTCTCAGCCACACCACCGACTCTGTCCTATTCGCCCCTGCACCAGAAACAAGAGCAGCCAAGTGGCCCCCTCCAGGGTCACACACATCTCAGTGAATACGGGAGCAAGATCCCAGGGGGCGGACTCTGGTGTTTGTGGAGGGGAGAACTGGGCTCTTCATTCGCATTTACTCACTGTCGCTGACTCCTAATTCCCTGGCAGGCATGTAGAGCTTTGGAAGCTGGATTCCTTAAGCAGACCTCAATCCCCACTATCCCCCTCATCTCTTCTCTCTCCTCTCTCTTCTCTCTCTCTCTCTCTCTCTCTCTCTCTCTCTCTCTCTCTCTCTCTCTCTCTCTCTCTCTCTTTCTCTCCTACTTTAGTGGAGATGGCTCTGGCAAGGAGGCATGAGCCAAGTTAGACCCTAGGGCTGCAACCAGAGTCTGCCTTCTACCTGTGTTCCCCTGTATGCTGACATCCTGCAACAGCACTAAACCCACCGGACGCGTGGATGAAAGGGACCACCCACCATTTTGTATGACCACACGAGACAAATGCTGTGAACCTTCTAGAGAAACACCCCGAGTTCTGGCACCCGGCTAATTGACTGGGTGGAGGCTGCTGCTCCTTCACCGGCTCACCCAGGGGCCCCAGGGAGAGGCAGATGCTTTTTTGGCAGGAGAGAGGATGAAGCAGATCAAAGATCTAATCTCCCCTAGCAGAACCGATGGGTGCAGCCACCTCAGGGCCACTCCAACCTGGACCTCCAAATCCCAGAAGGCCTTTGCAAGTGTGTCCTTCCCCGGGTGCTGTGGGTTCTTACACCAGACCACCCGCATAACCACCACTCTGTATCTCCTGACTGCTTCCTCATAGCAGGAAAAGGCACGGGTTGCTGTCAGCCGGAAGGGGCTCGAGACTAGTGCTCAGCACAGCTCTGGACCGGAGCAGCCGTGTGCTGCCTCCTGCCCTCTGTGCAGGGCCCTCACCCTTATGCCGGGGTTTCCTTTTACCTCTCTCCTGTTCACACGGCTTTCCTTTCTCTCATCAGCTCCTTCTTGGTCTCTGTCGGGTCTCTTGGCTCTGTTCTTCTCATTCTGCTTACACCTGGCGACCTCGGGGGCCCGGCCGCCCTTGGCTTCCAGCCCATCCTCCTTGCAGGCATCCTCGGAGTGGGGCTGCCTGCTCTCCCGCGGCCGGGCTTCATCCTTCCGCCTGGACCTCCCGGGGACATCCTGCGGCTTGAGATACTTGTCCGATTTGCCTTTGGGCTCTTTCCGGTAGTAGCCGTCTTCCCGGCCTTTGTAGCCCAGTGATGCCGAGTGCAGGGGCCCGGGCGACCCGGACCTTGGGTGCTTTTCTCGGTGGCCCCTGCTGGCCTCCAGCCGCTCGTCCAGCTCGGCTTTGTCCAGCGGCCGGGGCCCTAAGTAGTGCTTGCGATCATGGGCCCACGCGTCGGTCCTGTCCCTCTTGTCCTCCCCGTTCTCCCGCCAGGGCCCTGGGTCTCGCTCTTCCTCCCTCCTGGCGAAGGGAGAGTGTTCCCACGAGTCCCGGCTGTTGCCCCAGTCAGTCCGAGAGGGCCCGGGTGGGCTGTGTGAGGAACTGCAGGAGGCGAAGCTTGGAGTATGGGAGCGCGGGGAAAGGGTGCGGCCCACGGGACTACGAGACCGAGGCCGTTCCGGGCCGTACCTGGGAGGGAGCAAAGGAGTGGGGTTTAGAGTCCTGCCCCCAACACACGCCCAGACTCTGCCTCGATCAGCGTCTCACCCCGCATGGCGGTGCCCTTCTCCTGTTCAGCACAGAACAGGCTCCCCTCATTCTGGGTGTCCAGGAGGGCTTTCTCCCTCCACATCCGGGCCCGGGAGTTGGGGCAAATAACTGGACTGCTGGAGCGATAACACAGCGGGTACGGCGTTTGCCTTACACACCACTGACTCAGGTTTGATTCCTGCACCCCTCTGGGAGGGCCCGGTAAGCTACCGAGAGTATCCCACCCACACGGCAGAGCCTGGCAAGCTCCCTATGGCGTATTTGATATGCCAAACACAGTAACAACAAATTTCACAATGGAGACATTACTGGTGCCTGCTTGATTTAACAAATTGATGCACAACGGGAGGACAGTGCAGTGCTACAGTGCTACATACTCCTGATGTTCTAAAAATAACAAACAACCTTTAACTCCTAAATTCAGAAAAAGCTCACTGACCAGAGGCCACAAAATGGGGTTCCACTTGGACCAGGCCACCTTGCTCACCCCTGGGGGAGAAGCCCAAGGGCTTTAGAACACCATCTGGGTGGTGGGAGCAGGAACAGTCCTATAACAGTCCAGGCGGTTCCTGCAGGACCCACACCTGCTGTTTCCCACCCTTCCTCTCCTCAGGGATTCTCTGCCGGGCAGTGAGAGGGGCAGGCCTACAGCCCTAACTTGGCAGTCACTGCCTCCCCCAAGAGAAATGACGGGGGAAAATGCATGTGTTCACTGTTCAGAGTAAGCCAAGGGTCAAGTAATTTTCTTAGTCTATATTTGGTTCATGAAAAATCAAGGGCTAGCTCTAAACAATATGTGTGCATCCATGTGCGCGCGCGCGCACACACACACACACACACACACACACACACACACACACACACACACCTATACCTCTCTCTCCCACAAAGGAGCAGCTAGGAGGAACTGTAGCACTGCAGCACCTTGCATCTCCCTGTAGTCCAATCTGAACAGCATGACTGAGATGGACCCATGCTGTTCACCGCGCATGCGGAATGGCAAGACCCAGAAAGGTGGATGGTAAGGGCAGGGCACAGTGTGACTGAAACACCCGTCAACACAAGAAGCTAGAGAGTGCCCCACCTCCCAGAATGGGCACAGAACCCTCAGCTGGAGCTCACCTGTCTGCTTCCCGGAACATATCCCTCTCCCTCTGGGAATGGATGTCCTGGATGATGGCAGCCACGTTCTTCCCAGGTTTCTAGGCAAAGTCAGAGAGGTCACCATCAGACTTTACACTACCAGAGGGAAGCACTGCCCAGTCCTCCAAAAGGGGGAGATGCGTCTTTTTTTTTTTTTGCTTTTTTTGGGTTACACCCAGCAATGCACAGGGGTTACTCCTGGCTCTGCGCTCAGGAATTACCCCTGGCGGTGCTCAGGGGACCATATGGGATGCTGGGAATCGAACCTGGGTCGGCTACATGCAGGGCAAATGCCCTACCCGCTGTGCTATTGCTCCAGCTCTAGATGAGTCTTTTTATGGGAAATAAACAGCATGTTCTAGGGGACTGCCTGTGGGTACTGGGTGGGCAGAGAGCGAAGTCACTGAGCCAGGAAGGAAGGAGCCAGTGCTCCCAGGTACTTGCTCTTACCCCTCCCAAATGAAATGATCTGTGTTATTTGTATTGTGAAAGAGAGGAAGGGATAGAGAAAGAGAAGGAAGGAAAGGAGGATGAGGGAACACTGTTGGCCACTCAGCACTGCCCAAAATTTTACATAAGGAAACATTCTCAGTGAGTGTGGCCGGACTCTGCCATGTACCGCGACAGCCTCATCAGCGCATGTGCTGCTTGTCAATGGTGGTGCATGGAATTAAAGAACATGTTCAAGATCCTGCAGTCCAAGAACTGCGGCTTGGTTGCGGGCATCTTGACTCAACAGGCCTTGGTCTATGCCTCTGCCTCTTGCTCCCCTTTCCCTGTTTCTCCTCAGCAGTCATTTGGGGCTCAGCGTAAACCAGTGAGGTAGGTAGTAGATGCTGTACCCACATTTCACAGCTGAGCATGCCAGGTACCCATAGGCTGTGCCCCTTCCAGAAATTACTGTAAGGGCTTGATCCCTGTCCCCACATCTCAACCAAAGCCCTTGATGAAATGTAGAATGTATAATAAAAGACTGATTTTAATGACTGAAAGAAGAAAGCAATTAATAACAACATAAATAAAAGGATGGAAGCATTTTCCAAAAAATATTTAAAAAATTATGCATTAAAGTATATGAAACAGGGCAAAGTTATACTCTGGAGACTGTATTGTAGTGAGGCTGAAATTAAGGGAGAAAACAGACCCCCAAACCTCCAGTCTAATATCAACCTCTGATAAAGAAATTGCTTTAGAAATGGAACCCACTGCTCTTTTCAGCCTTGCTAAGAATGCAATCTGGGGGCTGGAGTCACAGCACAGCTGGTAGGGCATTTGCCTTGGATGCAGTTGACTCGGGTTTGATCCCCGGCATCCCATATGGTCCCCTGAGCACAGCCAGGAGTAATTCCTGAGTGCAGAGTCAGAAGTAACTCCTGAGCATCGCTGGGTGAGACCCAAAAAGAAAAAAAAACGCAGTCTACAAAGGCCCGCAGAGAGTTGTATAGGGCTATACAAACGTGGGGCATCATCATCAATCGTCTCTTAGCAGACGGGAAACCAGTTCTGAGCTAAGACATGAGCCGGTAATCTGGTTGGGACAAGAATTCACATGTAAAGAGCTGCAGGAGGAGAAGTTCAGAGTGTATGAGAGCAGGAGAAACCAGCTGCACGTGACTGTGAGATGGAGGCTGTTCTAGGCCATATCTAGGAGGGAGCAAAAGAGTGGGGTACAGAATCCATGCCCCTAAGAGCTCCCCACAACTGGACATGCCCAGGCTCTGCCAATCAAGGTCACGTGACTAAGAGGGATGATGCTGATAAGGCAATACAGCCTATAGGGGACCACGGCCATGGAGCTCAAGGTTCACCATCCTGCTCCTTTTAAGCTGAGTCTGAGCTTCCGAGCCTATGCCAAGGAGGGAAGACAGACACTTGAAAATCCTAGGTCCTGCTCCACCTGCAGCTGGCTGGATCACCGGGGTAAGGGCTGCAGACTAACTCTCCCCACCCGGAGAGGTGAGAAATAGTCACTTGGTCCTTCTCAACAGCCTTGGGGCCTGGTGGGCTACACAGATGGAAGTCCCAGAGAACTAAGTGAAAGTAAAGGGGCTGCTAGAAAGTTTTCTGTCCTCTGTGGAGGATATAGAAGACTCATGAGTACTGGGAAAATGCTGTAACCTTCTAGAGGAGGCTTAAATTCCTCCGGGTCAATGCTACCCCAGCAGTCCCAGTGCTTTTGAACTTTGCTTTTTGGGCTCTGCATCTCCTCTCAATGACCCCTGCCTGGAAGCCCCGCATGTTCAGCTACTTCTTCTCATCAGTCAGGGTCTTGCAGCGAGCTATCCCCTTCTCCCACAGGACCCTCAGCTCCTGTGCTTACACTATCATGTCTTGTGTCCTTCAACACAAGAACAGCTGGTTAGATAGCACCCAGGGGACAAGCAGATGTGTCCGTGAAAGTCTCGGCATTTTGGCTGACCTGAAGACTCAGTCATTGTGTGTCCATGTAATCAGCCTGACTGACAGCCCTGCAGCCCATTTGGGCCAAGAGTCCTGGCTAGCTGGGAGGCTGGGTGAGACCAGTGTTCCAAAGCCAGGCTCTCCCACTCCCCAAAACTCACAGTGCCTCTATTCCACCCGAAATGTACTGAAGATGTGTCACTGGGCAAGAGAACCTGAACACCTCCTTCCTCAGCAATTCTCTGGTAAAGTGGCTGGAAGTCACATATAGCTTTCAGGGATTCCAACTGGGTTCTCTTCTGTCCCTAAGACTCTACAACCCTGCTATAGAGAAACCCAGGAAACAGCTTACTCTTGTGACCCAGGTCTCCAGAAAAAGGAGGGGGTAGGGGAAGCACTTTGAAGACTTGTCCCTTCAGCTTTGCTTTTTCTGCTTCTGTTGAGCCCTCAAATAGCCCGGGCAAAGTACCCCTGAGGAAACAGTCCAGGAAAAGACGAGCAATGAAGAAACTCTCCTTTCTCTCCCTCTCCTCTGATGGGGGAGGGAAAGTTGAGGGGAAAAACCCATCAAAGTGTCAGCACCCCACAAGGCCTGGTGAGACCCCACCGTGACCGTCAGCCCCTAAACACTCATGAAGGAATATAATGTTTTGCATCTACCTTCCTAGTAGCCGTGGCCCCTTATGCACCCCTGACGTCAAGCAGCTGGATAGCACAGGCCTGGGCAATCAATGCCAGCCAGTCCCCTCAGCCTCAGAGACAGAGCTCCTAGCTCTCTCCTGGGGGAAAAAAAACGGGAGGATGAGAAGCCAGAGCCAAAGAAGTCACTGGGGCCATTGCGCCACCTAGAGGCATGGGACTGCGGGGGTGATCCTGGGAGCCCCTCAGAACAAAGCCAAGGGAACAGAGAGCAGAGAAGCCAAGTCCTAATGACATCACCTGGGCCCTGAGTCCAGCTGTGCTGCAGCCAAGAGACTCCAGCGAAACATCAGTTACAGGAGCCAGGAACTCCCAAGGGCTTCATGAGAACTCACGACAGTTACATTCCAAGAGAATGCAGGCTGATTTATATCAACCCAGGTACCATCATGTATGTGCTCCTATGTAATTAAATGTGCTTCCAGAGGCATTCACATGTCACCCCAGGAAGCAGAAAAGAACCCTCACTAACAGCCAGGAAGAAATGCATTCTAGTCTCTGGCTGCCAAAAGAGTACCCCGAGGTGCCCCCGGCAACTTCGAGGGACCATGGGAGAAATGCAGAATCACTGCAGACATCATAACAGGATTCGAAAGTGATCTGTGCCATGACAGCTGGAGAGGCTGTGAGGACATGCTGTCTCTGTGGCTGATGACTGGGTGGCTAGAAGCAGAGGCCCGGAGCACCCTCTGCATTCTCCATATGCCAAGGAGCACAATGCAGCCCCATGAAGACAATCAGATATGGGACCCAACCAACACAGGCCTGGGATTTAATCATGGCTCCAGTAACTATGCTCTTGTGAGCTCCTGAACTTCTATTAGCCTCAGTTTCTTCCTCTGTAAACGTGAGATAATAATACCTGTCCCACAGACCTGACGTCAGGATTAGCAGATAATGTATGTAAAAGTGCTTGGCAAAGTACTTGACCCAGGGAACTGGGACACAATTAAGGTACATATCCTTGTTAATATTGCTGTACAGTTATAATGACTGTTATTATCTCCTCTATACACCTCACCAGGAAGGATGATCATGAGACTTGAGGAGACAATGTCTGAAAACAAAATGCTTGAAACCAAAAAACTCTTTCTATCCATCAATGATCTGGAAACAGAGGGTCATGGAAGTTACATACCTTGAGCTAGTTCATCAAAGCAGGAAGGGGTGGCGCCCCCATCCTTTCATCTTGCTCAGGTCACATGCTTATCGGTGGGTCTGTTTACCTGTTCTTCCTCTCACCTGACTCACTTTACTCTCCCTACATCTGAGGTGCCCCACCCAACTTCTGCCCACAGCAGACATTCATCTGCCCTCTTTTGTACTACTTCAAACTTTCTCCCCATCAGTAAGGTTTAATTTTAATAGTGCCTTGATACTACTGTTAACCCTAACTGGAAACTTAGTGTAACATCTTATTTGAAAACCAGAGCTCTCCCTGGAAGAAATTCACTTCTAGTCCCCGTGGGAAATCCAGTAGAACCGGAATTTTGTCTGGGTACAGGATGGGTGGGATCTTTCACTTGTTTTAGAAAAGCAGCATATTCTCATTGGTCAGGCAAAAACTGCCAGTCTGTGCCTGAAGTAAAACTGCTGGCAAAGAACCTTCCTGAGCAGTAAAGCAAGCAAAGCAGAATCAGGAAATTGGTCACTGCTTGACTTATTACCAATCTGCATGTGGATACTTGTCGGGGTGCAAGTTCTGGCTAGAAATAGCCACAGCCACTGAGACTTTGTTTTCCGACTCCAGCCTTGAAGACAGTGGAAAGGCAATGGTATATAAATCATTATATAAATGCGGAATAAGCTGAGGTGAATTGGGCGTGAAAGAAAATGCAGACCAAGAAGGGAGATTTAAACATGAATCACAAAAACTTCAACTAGACTCAGTGGCCATGTCGAGAGAATTCCTGCAAACCAATATGACATAATCCATGGGCAAATCCTGGGTTATGACTCCAAACAAAACCTTTGCACCAGTGAAGATATAGGCCAGAGTTTCCCAAGTAGGGGACAGTACGTCCATTGCTCCCACAGGGGCGCTAGAATAATGTGGGGGTAGGGTGGGGTCATAGGTACAATTAGGAACACTTTCTGCTCTTTTAAAGAAGGTAGATTTGGGGAAAGGGGAATGTGGTGAGTCTTTTTTTGGAAAAAAAGGCAGTAGGCCAAAGAAACTAGGAAACCTCTGATCTAAATGGGAAAACCAATAAATATATGAAAAGGTGTTCATGGGCTAGAGAGATTTTGTACAGGGATTAAGGTACTTGCCTTGCACACTGCCTATCCATATTGCATCCCAAAACCACAAGTGGTCCACCAGTAGGCCCTGAACACAGTTGGGTGTGGCCCCCAAAACTGAAACTAAGTTTGGTAAATAGGAAAATAAAAACAAAATCATGAAAAACGATTATACTTTCCCTAGAAAGGCAAAAAGCTTAAAGTCAGAAAAGAAAAAATTGTCAGCAAAAACCTGGACCATAGAGAAGTCTCATTTTAAAAAAAAACCTTGCTAATTAGAATATAAATTTTGAACAACTAATTTTGAAACGCTCTTGTCATCATCCAGAAAAACTGAGTGTACTGAAAACACAGAAGTTTGGGTGCTTGCTTTGCATAAGCCCAACCCTTTTGAACCCTCAGGACCATATGTGGATTCTGGAGCACTTCAAGGGGACATGCTTGAGCACAGAGCCAAGATTAGTCCTGAGTCCTTCTAGTTGTGTCTCGGCCCCCAAGCACATTAAAAGAAAGCAACTGAGGATCAGCTTACTTTGAAATTTAGGAATTCACTCCTACTTCTACTTTCATTTGTGCCCTTTGTTATGTTCTCATGGGCATGAGCACCAGGCCAACACATTTTTGAGCTCTCACAGAACCATTATCCTTAATACTATAAAACTGAAAATGACCCACGTGCCCAATAACAGTAGAATGCATGAATTAAGTTTAGCGTTCACAGAAATTTATATGGCAATACAGACACTCCACCTACACGGATAGCATGATGATAAATGAAAGAGATCACAGGAAACAACCATCATGTATCTATTCTCATGGAATTCAAAATTATGCAAAACTTTTTTAAAAAGATAAACGAGGAAATGATAATCTGTAAAATAAGAGAAGTGAAGATGAGGAGGCTGAGGAGCATTTCCCGGGGGTTATCTGTGTCCTGTTTCTCAGGTTTGATGGTAAAAGTTTATGGGGAATTACAAAGCTTCATCCATTATTTTTAAAGTATATACAGTCACTTTTCTGTATGCATCACATTGAAAAACCCAAACAAAGAAGAAAGGAGAAATAAAACAGCAAAAGAACAATGCATACCACTTTAAAACAAAAATACACTGTTTGGAACTATATGGATTCTTCTTTGGTCATTTCACTTCTGTGAAACTTAGAAGGAATCTTTAGGGTCCTACAACTTAAATATGGATGATGGTAGAAAAAATAAGAGACCAAGGTGGGCGAGAAAAGAAGAAATGGTTACTGAAACCTGTCTGAGTAGAGTAGGAGGTTCTATTTGGGGAATAAGCCTACTGTAAAGCAACCCACCTTCCCTTTCTTACTCAACCTTCAACACTTCCTTTGTGAAATCCCCTGAGGGTCCCAGATAGTTGGTTCTCTCGCATCCCTTTACTTTCTGTACTTATCTTAATGAGAATTTTTCCTGCCCTGTTACAATGATTTGCCATCATAACATGGTACCATGTGATATCTCAAAGAGAGTTGGTAAGGTGAGATCTTTTCCTTCTCTTTTCTTCCTGCCAGCACTTAACAAGTGCCCAGCAAGCTCATACTTGTTGAATGACTGAATGAACAGGAGCATGCTTGATTTACCTTTAGCTGCAATTCCTTGTATCTCTTGGACATCCGAATGAGTAACTTCTCACCATTGATCATAGCAGATTTTTCGTGGTAGTACTGGACCATGGCCTGGGCAGCTTCTGTGTAAGCCATCTCTAAAAAGGCCTAGAAAAGAGAAGAAGGCCACACAATGTCATTGAACATTACAAGGCGTGATTCTGTGTGTATCAAGTTCACGAAGAGGTGGAGTGAGTGAATAGGGATAGATAGAACTGAGTTTCCCTCTAACCCTGGTGGTGGTCTGGAGTTGGAAGAGTGAATGCCACAAACTCTGTTATCATCAGTTTTGTAAATCACTATATCTAAATAAGTAATGAGGTGAAAAGCAGTATTTTTTTTTTTTTTTGCTTTTTGGGTCAGGGGTTACTCCTGGCTCATGCACTCAGGAATCACTCATGGCGGTGCTCGGGGGACCATATGGAATGCTGGGAATCAAACCTGTGTCGGCCATGTTGGCTGCGTGCAAGGCAAACACCCTACCCACTGTGCTATCGCTCCAGCCCCGAAAAGCAGTATTTTTTGTAATCAAAGTTCAAACTCACAATAAACTATAGAAGGCTAAGAAGAAAGTGCCTGAATTTCTTATTTATTTTCCTTGGTCAGTATGCTAAATGTCTGTCTAAATATCTTGATGCTTAAGTGATCTGTTGATTTTTTCCCTAAAAATGCAATATTGTTTAAATTAAGCTTTTCCTTAATTAACATCATTAAGCATGTGTCATATTTGGAACTTGGTAAAATTCTACTGTCACTGTCACTGTCATCCCATTACACATCGATTACTTGAGCGGTGCCAGTAGCATCTCCATTTGTCCCAGCTCTGAGATTTTAGCATCATACGATGCTAAAAAATTCTACAAAGTCAAGAAAAAAATAACCTGAGTCTCCCTCTGGGGCTAGTGATGAAGAATTGTGGAAAGATTTATTTCTGGAAATGTTAAATATCTTGACCTAGATGGTAATTACATGGGTGTATACATGTAAAATAATTAATGGCATTGTACACTTAAGATTAGTGCCCTTCAGTATGCATTTTATACCTCAATAAAAAGAAGAAGAAATCAGTTTGGGGAAGACCTGTCTTTGATCACATCTGTTCAAAGAGACCTATTTATTAACCTCACCAAAAGAGCTCATTATGAGACGGCTCTTCTCCTGTCTGCATGGCTACCAAACATGATTCTCAACTATGTAAATCCGTTCTGGGCTCCATCAGCTCGGGAGCCCTTGGGACAGGAAGGCCCACAAACCCACAATTCTCTGAGATCTAAGGCGATGGGAAGGAGGAAGGAACAGGAAGTTGGTACAGGAGACCTCGAGCTATTCCCTGCAAAAGCTGTTCTTTAGTACTGATAGTCACAAGTCCTGGTTATACAAACTCTTGCTTTCCTTGCAAAGAAAAACAAACCTCCCAAAATTCAGGGGCTCCCTTGACTTGAAGGAAGACCAAATATTTGTGGATTAAGAAGAAAAGTCAGTATTCGCCACAATTATTTAGCACGGTTATGTCTCACCTATTCCCCTCCAACTTCTTAAAGGACAACACTTGGGGAAAAAATGGATTTTTCCATTCCATTATCTACAGAGTTTCTGAGCCGACTCTTCTGCAGAACTGTCTACTTTTCTCAGAAGTGGCTATGGTGGGTTCATTGCTATTACTCCCAATATCTGTTTGGTTTGTGCTATACTCACCATTGTTCTGCTTCTGGTTCCTTGACTCTGAGAAGCCCTTAGCAGTCTGTAAAGGGAGGCTCCGCTATGGATGACTACTTGGAACAGTGTCAGCTACACTGGCTTCCTGCACCCACATTCCCTTTTGCATTTCAGATACACTATTCTCCACACTACCACAGCCTATGGCTAAAATCTGGGCTACTGAGAAGTCAAGATTATTTGGGATTTTATCCCAAAATCTGTCCCACAGCTTTCTAAGTGCCTTTTTCTTGGGGTGAACATATTGGCACCTCTAGCTGTCACCTGGTAAATGGGAATTATACTAACTCACTTGTTCTCATCGCAGGAGTTGAAGCTGAATTTCGGACACTTGTCTAAAATAAACTTAGGTACAAAGACACTAGGTGAGTAGTCTGATCTCAGCTGATGGGGGAAATTCAAAGATCTGAAGTGGCTGGCACTGAGTCTCCAAACTAATTTGTGCCTTAATGAAGCAAAAGGCCAGAGAGTTGCTTAGAGGGTTAGAGTGCCTGTCCCATCAGTGCTATGCAGAAGTACCACATGATCCCCGAAGCATCGCCAGGTGTAGCCCTGGAGCCCCACTTGACTGGGGTGTTTCTGGAGGTCCCTAGCACTGCTGGAACCAAACACTGAACCATCAGGCCTGCCCTGGGCACCTGGGACAGCACTAAAATAAATTTCACAGTTTCATTTCTCTGATAGTCATGAGTCTATTAAAAATGGAAGAGAAAATGTTGCAGAACTGCAAACAACATTTCAATGTTGATTTATTTTCACTGTTGATAAGGAGATCATTTTTCCTGACGGTGATCAGAGTGATGTTATTCAAGGACCTCCTTTTCCCACATATTGTTCTCTTGAAGTTCATTTCCCCACCCCCCATTTTGTTAACAACTTTTATCATAAATATATGTTGAATCCGTTCATCGGTAAGTTTTAAAAATTTATCCATGACATTCTTTAAGTGAGGACTTAATGGTATGATTTCTGGCCATTCCCTATTAAAACTATCCCTTTGTCTTTAGAAATAAAGCAGACCTATTACTACTGTCATCTTGATCAGCTCCCATGGATTATGCTTTCAGCAATCTAGACTTACCAGGCAGACATCAATTCCCCCTTTCTCTCCTGCTAAGAAACTAAAGGTACAGTGAAAATATCTCTTCCCAGGATATTCTTGGCTGCCTCTAAATCTAGGCCATAGCTATGACATTGAGCCTTCATACATGATGTGATATGAATCATCAGATAAGATAGGTTTCCTTTAGAGGTAAGACTGGAGCCCTAGTCCAGCTTGAGAACATGGTGAGACTCGAGTCTATGGGTTCCTATTGTGGAGGCCAGTTTGCTTCACTATGTCCCTGAGAACCTCATTCAAAGCATATCCTCAACTCTATGCAATTCACAAAGGTCTGTACCTCACCAAAAAAGCAAGAGTGAAATAAGGGGGAACAACATTCCATCACCAGAAAACCCCTGTGCTATACCAGCAGGAGGCCAGTTGCATATGACTTCTTTATGTTAAGATCACCCTTTTAACTAAAGAGACGAATTATACGGTTCCCCTCCACCTATGGGGGTAATTGGCATTACTCCTGTGAAAGAGCCAGCCCGAAGATGGTTCTACAAGACATGAGTCCATCATCCTCCAACCTGCAGGAGTGTTGCTAATAAAGCTCTTTCTCAATCTATAAAACAAAGAGGAAAGGAGAAAAGAAGGAATGGACAGAGTGAGGAAAGAAAGAGGGGAAGAGGGGAAGGGAGGAACAAGGGAGGGGAGAGATGGGAAGGGAAAAGGGCAAGGGGAAGGGGAAGCAGGAAGGGAAGGGAAGGGAAGGGGAAATGGGAAAGGAAGGGGAGGGGAGGGAGGGAAGAGAAGGGAAGGGGGTGCAGACCTACCTGATTAGTAGATTTCATAAGGATGTAATTAGTGACCTTTCCAAAGGGCAGTCCCAGGTTGATGACGTCATTCTCAGTGCAACTTCCTTCAGGGAGATTGCAGATATGAACCACGCGGCCAGCACCTGTTTTCCGCTGTGCAAACTGATGAGAACAAAGAGCAATGATGGGCCTTCAGAAGACTCTTCTTCCCTCTTGCACCAAACAATGACTACAAAACTATAATCTAAAATGACCAGTGGAAAACAATCCACCCAGAGACACGTGTTGATTTTCTGTCATATCTTTAAAGAAAGATTTGCACCATTTTATTTTTATTCCCCCCCCCCCCGATTCTTTTTTTTCCTTTTTTAAAAAAAATTTTATTAGTGAAACACCATGAGGTACAGTTGTAGACTTACAAATTTTTGTGCTTGGGTGTCAGTTATACAATGATCGAGTACTCATCTCTCCACCAGTGTCCATTCTCCACCACCAATGATCCCAGTATACCACCCTGCCTCTGTGACACTGCATTCCCTTTTGTTTTCTCTCTCCTTTTGGGTGTTGTGGTTTGCAATAGAGGTATTGAGTGGCAATCATGTTTTTGGTCTATAGTCTACATTCAGCATGCATCTCCCATCCTGGGCGGATCCTCCCAACACCTTTTACTTGGTGTTTCCTTCTCTATCTGAGCTGCCTTTTCCCCCAGCATGGACATCTGGCCTCCAAGCCATGGATTACTTGCACCATTTTAAATGAGTAATCAGTACTAACCAGGGCTACTGAAGATGTAGGAATGGGGATATCTATATGTTATGGGTGAGACACTGTGTACCTAAAACTTTTTGAGAATATCTTAAGCAATAGTTGAAACTTTAAAAACATAGGCGACGATCCCACCATCACAATGTTGGGCAATTTGTTATTGCACAGAAATAAATTCATTGGCATATAAAAACTTGTGTACAATAACATTTATTGCAGTCACTTATATCTAACCCAAGACATTTTTTAAAGTAGTCTGAATATCCAAGAATAGGCTAATGTTTGAGTAACGGCTGGTTTCTGCAAAGAAAAACTAGTCATTAAGGGGAGAAGTCAATGTGTTAAATCATTTTAAAGATGAAGTAGAAATCAGGTAGTCAAGTAACAAGTGTCATATAATGCCATTTTTGTAAAAGAAAATTAAAAACTGAAAATATAAGCGAAAGAGAAGAGTGCTGTAAATTTTTATAATGATTGGAAACAATGATAATATCTGGTATGATGGCTATACAGGGATCAATTCTACTATCTTCTACTGTTCTGCATGAATGATATTTTAAATAATGAAGACAATTTAATGACTATCAGCACTGAGAAAGTTATGGGACATTACATCTTAATCCTCAGTATTGGTTATATTCACAAACTGGAAGCAAGTAATGGAAGAAATGTCTGACTTTTTTCCTTATATACCATATTCTTATATTGATTTATTATTTTTTAATTTAAACAAAGGAAAATGAGTATATAAAAGATTTTCATGAGTGTAATACATACACAGGGACATTCCCAGCAAAAATCTGTAGCTTTAGACTTTCTAACCTTTGTTAGCCTTCGGAGTCCTGGTTTCAAACCAAAGCTCATTCACCAGACCAATAGGCTGAACAAATAATAGAGCTGCTCTAGTGACTCCTTAGGGCCCCACACTCTGCTCACTCTCCACCAGGAAGTCTCAAAAGGATCTCGAGGGAGCACAGTTTGGAAACCAAAACCCGGGGCCTAGTCAAAGCCTAGTCAAAGCACTAGTCAAAGCACTGCTCGGTATGTGCAAACAATCAGCCCAGGGTTGCTGGAAGGGTCAGAATTGGCAAATGCCAATCAAAGGGAAAGAGAAGGACACAACCCCCCCCCCCCAAACCTGGAACCCATTCTGAAGCTACAGTCCCATTTGCATAACCAATTTCTTCTATGATACAGTGAACTTTAACATCTAGTTACATACGGCATAGGTCTAAGACTGCAAAGGCACTAGAATGGAAAGGTCAGAGGTCTCAGTCCTAATGTGGGCTAATACTCATGGTATTAATGGCTTTCTTTGTGTGATATCTGACTTCCGGCTTCTGTCTGATTTTCAGTCAGAAATACTTTTTTAATGTGTTGAGTGCTTTTGAAAATATTTCATGTCTATAGGCTTTTCTATTATTTGTCTAAGACTTGTTTGTTTTTTTAGTGGACCACATTTAATTGTGCTCTACTTAGAAAGCCAGGGATCAGTGCTGAAGTGATAGCACAGCAGGTAGGGCATTTGCCTTGTATGCAACTAACCCCGGTTTGATTCCCAGCATCCCGTATGGTTCCCTGAGCACCACCAGGAGTAATTCCTGAGTGCATGAGTCAGGAATAACCCCTGTGCATTGCTGGGTGTGACCCAAAGAGCAATAAATAAATAAATAAATAAATAAAAGTCAGGGATCACTCCTGGTGGGGCTCGGGAATTGAACCCAGGTACACAAGGCAAGTTCCTTATCTGCTATACCATCTCCCCAGCCCCTAAAATACCTTTTTGTTAAAATTAATTAGGTTAAAAACTTCTATGAGAAAGCTTCTGGGTGAAAGACAGTCAGTAAATCTCTGGTAAGGTTCAGCTCTGCATTGAAGAAATTCAGTTTCCTCTCTCAGATCCCTCTATGCAGTGTTGAGGGGGCCCAAGAGCTTTCCCAAATGGGAACAAAACTTCAACAGAAGGTTCCTGCAGTTTTCAGAGCATCCTCTTCCTTCTCTGAGTGCAATTCAAGCTGCCCTTAAGCTGCAAGGCTTCAAATCTGCCCTTCTCCAGGGCAAAAGAAGAGGAAGGATTCTGCCTCTCATTAGGGGCGAGACTATCTGCATAGAGAACCAAACCCAGCTGGGCTTTCAAGCAGGGCATGTGACCCGCTCCTCTTAACAACAGCAGGGCTGAGGCTGGCACTCTTCTCTGCCCACCTGCTCTTAGCAGGCACGTTCCTGCACCACGCGACTCTGCTGTGACGGGCTGGGCAGACATCTGTGTTATTTGCAGGACAGAGCAGAGAAGGGAGATCTGGGCCCATCTCCACTGCTGGCTGGCCCAGTTGCCTAGAAACCAGGGGAGAGGGCCAAGGTCTCTTTGTCTCCTCTAGATGAAAACAGCAGCTCAAGAGACTTTTACCGGGAGTGTGAGTACAGCTAAAGTTGCTGCTAGAGGGAGCAGAATAGATCTCCTGTGGGTAAACAACCTCATAGCTGCCCGTCAACCAGATGTATCCGTGCAGAAAGGCATTGAAATGCATGGATCTCAAGGAAGGATTTTTCACTCCATTTTAAAAACAATTCTAAGGATGTGTTTTTGCTCCTAAGATTATAATCAGAAATAAGGACTTTACTGACTCCCATGTCATGATAGTAGGGTTTTTCTGTTGTGTCTGAATTTTGGCTTCTGTGTGATTTCCACTTAGAAACTTTTTAAAAAAAAGTGTGCTGACCAAATAAAGGTGTTGGGAGGATCCTCCCAGGATGGGAGAAGCATGCTGAAAGTAGACTATAGACCAAACATGATTGCCATTCAATGCCTCTTCTGCAAACCACAACACCCAAAAGGAGAGAGAGAACAGAGGGGAATGCCCTGCCACAGAGGCAGGGTGGGATGGGGGTTGGAGGGTGGGAGGGATACTGGGATCCGTGCTGGTGGGAAATGGGCACTGGTGGAGGGGTGGGTATTTGATCATTGTATAATTGAAACCCAAGCACGAAAATGTATAAGTCTGCAACTGTACCTCATGATGTCTCATTATTAAAATTTTTTTAATAAAAAATGTGTTGAATGCCTTGCAAATTTGTGATGTAGGATAGTTTAGTCTACAGTCGTTTCTATCACTGGTCTAAGATGTCTTTTTGTTTCGGAAATCAATTAGGTTCAAAATCCTACTTGAGTCATAGAAGCTGTAGATTCTACACTGTAGTTTTATCTGCTTTCACACTATCCCATTCTTGGAGCATTTCTAAAACATGGCAATTATTAGCCTGATGCTGTATGGAGACCTAAATCACGAAGGAGGCAGGAGGCATGTGAGAAGGTGAGAGAGAGGCAGAATGCAGCCCTCATGGTCCATCTAGACAAAAACCTGTTCATGGGAACACAGCGACCCCAGTGCCTCTGAGAAAGCAGTATGATTTCCTGCCTGGATTCACAGTCCTGCTCTTTAACCAGTCCTTAAGGGTCGTGAAGAGCAACAGAATATCAAGGGGAGGATCATTTGGGGTTGGTTGTTGTTGTTGTTGTTGTTCTTCTTCTTCTTCTTCTTCTTTTTCTTCTTCTTCTTCTTCTTCTTCTTCTTCTTCTTCTTCTTCTTCTTCTTCTTCTTCTTCTTCCTCCTCTTCCTCCTCCTCTTCCTCCTCCTCCTCCTCCTCTTCCTCCCTCTTCTTTTTTTTTGGCATTTCAAAAACCCTAAGTTGAGCTTGTCCTCTGAATTTCTTTATCAACAGGTGCCTGATTAGACTCTAGGGCGAGAAGTGTTGACTGGTGTCTCTGCATTTTGATGAATGAAAGTGGGCAGTTAGTTAGCTAGTCACTATTATATAAGAACTCTGGATCCAGGACTTTTCCAAACATGGGCTTCAAGACAATCCATGGCTGTTTGAGGTAACAGTAAAAACTAAGATGGGGGTGGGTCTATAAAAATTCTGGGGGCTCCAGGTATAGTGGAACAAACCTGAGCCTGGATTTGAGTGTCAGTTCAGTCCCTAAATCAGGTGCATGGGAGGAACAAAGGAATTTTGTTTTCTGGGCTTTCATTTCCCAGTGACTGGAGTGAGGGTGAATCTATACCTTTTGATGGGTATGGGAAGGAAGGAGTGGTTTGGGCCATATTGGACAGTGCTCAGGGGCTTTTTCTGGCTCTAGAAGCAAGGGTGACCCAGGCAGTGCTCAGGGCACCATATGTGATGGCGGGGATTTGAACCAGTGTCAATGTGGCTGCATGCTGTATGCCGAGTGAGTGCCTTACCTCCAGGCCTGAGTCTCTACCTCCGTAGTCCTTTCTAGCTATCCATATCTACATGACTCTACAACTAATCTTCCTAGAAGCCCTGCCAGGCAGAAGAGAGAGCCCAGGTTTTCCCCACTCCGTATCCTGAGAGATATTGTGTCATCCTGCACTCTC